ATTGCTAACATTTCTGTAGCACTTAATATATTCCAGCCCCTGTGCTAAGCACTTCACAATTATCATCTCTGATCTTCACAGCAACCCTGGGAAGTAGATGCTATTATTATCCTCATTTTGTAGAAAAGGAAACGAGGCAAATAGGGACAGAAGAAAACCCTGCTCACCCTCACTAATTTGCATGTACCTGCACATGTAGGTATTTCACCTCTGGGACATCTCTGGAATGTGGTTCTTTCTTTCCTCTGACACTGCTCATCATCTCACGCCTGGGCTGCTGCAATAGCTGCTGGAGGGGTCAGCCTCAGGCCTCTCCGCACTCCAGTCCGCTCTCCATTCGGCCGCTGAAGTGATTTTGTTAAAATGAAGGTCCAGTCGTGTAAACTGATCATGTAATCCTGCACACACACGCACACACACGCACACACACGCACACACACACACACCAAATTCCAGTGGCCCTCTGTTGCCTCTAGAAGCAAACACAAAACGCCCTGACGTTTAAAGCCCTCTGTAACCTGACCCCACCTTGGCTTCTTACATCTTATTCCCCAACACATACTCTTCACTCTAGTGACCCTGGCCCCCTCCTCTTCTTTGTTCCACAAATAAGACACTCCATCTCCTTACTCCAGGCGTTTTCTCTGGCTCTAACCCCTGGAATGTTCTTTCTGACCTCCACCTACTAGCTTCCTTCAAGTCGTATCTAAAATCCCATCTTTGGAAAGCCTTTCCCAACTCTTCATTCTAGTACCTTCCATCTTCTGATTAGTTTCCTATTTGTCTGAGGGGGAGGGGGAGAAAGAAAGGGAATTACATGGCACTTACTATGTGCCAGGCATATGCTAAATGTTTGTTTTGTCTTTACAAGTGTCTCATTGGATATTGTTTATTACTATTATGGGTATATACATATATATGCACATAGGTGTGTGTGTGTTTCAGGGACTATCTTTGGCTTCTTTTTATCACAGCACTTTGCAAAGTGCCTAAAACACCAGAGGCATCGAGTGAAAACTTAGTGATGGATTGAATTGTGAAGTTTTTCTGTTGTATCATACAGGTTGCCAAACATAAGAGTTTATAACGGAGAGAAACTTCATGACTGTAATCAGTGTGGGATGGCATTACACCCGAGAACGGCCTACTCGATGTAAGAGAATTCATGTCAGAAAGAACCTGAGGGTGTAATGACTGAAGGAAGACTTTCTTCCAGAACAAAAGCTTTCCTCAGTGGCCTCAGATCTTACAACCAAAGGAGCTGTGTACATATAGTCTTTCAGCCAGAAAAAAAAAACAAAAAACAAAGAACTCATTCAACAGTACATGAAATGATAGAGACCTTACAAGTGTCACAAAACAATCATTTTAGCCCAAGTCAACATTCTTTCCTGAAAATCAGAGAATTAAAACCTAAGAGGGAACACCCCCCCACCCCGTAATCAAGGATTCTTAACCTAAGGTCTGTGAACTTTTTTTTAATCTTTTGATAATTTTGTGTGACTCTATTTGGCTTTCTTTGTAGTCCTATGCATTTTATTATGTAGTTTAAGACAATTTTGAGGATGGGTTTGCAGTCTTCACCGGTCTGCCAGAGACCTCCTTGACACAAAGAATCTTAAGAATCCCTGGACTAAATGAAATGTCTCAGACGGCTCTCTACTTTCTCCTCAGTCTTTACTCACTTTTTTCCTCCTCAAGACCTAGTCTTCTCCCTCCCAAAACCCCCAAATTTACTCCCTGTGATTTAAATTGGAGTTGATCTCACAGGCACCTGAGCCTGGAACTCCTGAAAGTCTCTAAGAATTGTCAACTCTGTGTCCAGAAGAAGCTGGAGCTCTGCTCCTCATTAAGACTCATTGCTTTTCCTGCCTCCTCTAGAGCATCCGTCCAGTTAGGGGAGAAATGTTTTCTCTCTGCATTCATGTGGTGGGTAACCATTGCCTATATTCATCACAACGCGGAAATCATGGATGTTAAAACCTAAGTTTTATCATGCTCAAGCATAGGTTCAGGCCTCAGAGAAACTGAACAATTATGAGGATTCTGATAAGGCTTTTTATTGGCAAAATTACATCAGAGTGACAGAAAAATAACTTGTTTACATATTGCAATCTTGTCCATTCCTCTTAGGCCATAAAAGTTAAATAGAAGACAGATCCATAATCCCATGCTTTCTTCAGTGTCATAAAGTTGAACAAACTTAGTTAAACAAGTCATCATCTCATATATCTCATATCACAGGGACCAGCTCCTGCACTGTGGCAAACAGCTGTCAGGTCACTGGGTCCTTGTTAGCGCCTAGTCCCCCAGCAGTGAGTCCTTAGACGTTCCATTGGTCTTGGGGTCATTCTGGCTGCTATGCTCAGTGGGGCCAAAGCAATGGAGAGCTGAAGAATGACTAGCAGAGCCCAAGCAGATGTATGGGCAGCGTCTCCATGTGGGCAGCTGATATAGTCAGCCAAAGCCTCAAGCACTAGACTCTTGGCACATGACAATGGAATACCTCAAACGTTTAACGTCCAGCAGCTCAAACTGAGGGGAGGGGCAGCTGCCAACCTTGTTGGTGCCCATGGGTGATGTACTGGGCCAGCTGCAGGTCAGTGTCACCCTCCGGGCCACCTGAGATGAGCCACAGCAGGGCAAATCAGGACAGGGAACTTTCTGTTACATGCTTGTTTCTATTTATACCTTATATTCGGTTTTCTTTTGCTCTGCAAAACATCTGTCCACGTGACCTGAGGTTTAAGTCAGTACTGTGTAATTGAAATGCCTTTTAGACTTCCTTTCATTCTCTTTCAGTTTCTGACTTTGATTCTCCCATTAATTGTTCTCAATCTCCCATAGTTTGTGAATGTCTTGTCACTGACACAGGCTCTGTGCAAGTTAGCCTGTTTCTGTTCACTTAATATTTCATTTTCCTTTAGAAATTACAACTTTATCTTTGATGTGTTCTAGTTCTCCTTTTCCTGCTGTTGTTGTCTGGAATCCAGTGATGCTGGATTCAATATCTCCCACAAGATTCTGCATCTCCTGACTGGACATTTTTGCTGGCTGTCTCCCATGGTGGGCTCCACTCTGCCTATTATCTATTTTTCCTAAAACACAGTTTTGACTATCTCTCTCCCCCCACCCCATCTCTCTCTCTCTCTCTCTCTCACACACACACACACTCTCTCTCTCCCCCCCTTGTCTCTCTCTGCCTCTGTCTTTCCTCTGTCTCTCTCTGTCTTTGTCTCTCTCTCCCCAGTGTCTCTCTCTCTCTTACACACACACACACACACACACACACACACACCCCACTCCTTGTCTCTCTCTGCCTCTGTCTTTCCTCTGTCTCTCTCTGTCTTTGTCTCTCTCTCCCCAGTGTCTCTCTCTCACACACACACACACACACACACACACACACACACTCTCTCTCTCTCCCCCCTTGTCTCTCTCTGCCTCTGTCTTTCCTCTGTCTCTCTCTGTCTTTGTCTCTCTCTCCCCAGTGTCTCTCTCTCTCTCTCACACACACACACACACACTCTCTCTCTCTCCCCCCCTTGTCTCTCTCTGCCTCTGTCTTTGTCTCTCTCCCCAGTGTCTCTCTCTCTCTTACACACACACACACACACACACACACACACACACGCACACACACACACACACACAGACACCCCACTCAAAAAACTCCATTGGCTCATCATCACCTTCGATTTAAAATACAAAATACTCTGACATTCAGAGCCTTTCATAACCTAGCCCCCTCCTACCTTTCCAGTCCTTACACACCTTACTCTCCCCTACATAATCTTTGATCCAGTCACATTGGTTGCCTGGCTGTTCTACTAGCAAGACTGCCTCTAAGCTCTGGGATATACTCTCTCCTCCACTCTGACTACTGACTTCCCTGGCTTCCTTCAAGTTCCAACTAAAATCCGGGGGTAGCTAGGTGGCATAGTGGATAGAGTGCTGGGCCTGAAGTCAGGAAGATTCATCTTCCTGAATTCAAATCTGGCCTCAGACACAGCTGTGTAATCGTGGACAAGACATTTAACCTTGTTTTCCTCAGTTTCCACATCTCTAAAATAAGCTTGAGAAGGAAATGGCAAACCCCTCCACTATCTTTGCTAAGAAAACCCCAAATAGGGTCACAAAGAGTCGGACGTGACTAAACAAAAAAATCCTGTCTTTCTACAGGAAGCTTTTCCCAGCCCCTCTTGCTTCCAGAGTCTTCCCTCTGTTTATTTCCTACATATCCTGTATGCAGATTGTGCATATATGTATTTGCATGCTGTCTCCTCTGCTAGATTGCAGACTTCTTGGGGACAATGCCTCTCTTTTGACTCTTTTTATATCCCCAGCCTGTATACATAGTAGGCTCTTAATAAATATTGATTGGATTCAACTGCTTTTTGCCTTTCCTTGTATTCCCAGCACTTAGCCCAGTGCCTTGTACACAGTAGGCTCTTAATAAATGTTTGCTGACTGACTGTAAAAATGGGTGGGTTAGACTCTAGTAGTATAAGTAGTCTACATCTGACTATGGGCCTCCGTTTCTTGATCTGTAAAATGAGGGGATTAGACTACATGGTGTATGGTAGTCACGTAATAAATGCTCGTTGACTCGGCCAATCTGACGGGTACAAAATGGAACCTCGGAGTCCTCTTAGTTGTAATCTCATTACTTAGTGACTTGGAGCATTTTTATGTGGTTGTTAGCAGCTCGCACCCCTCCCTTTGAGAACTGCCTGTTTATATACGTTCACCATCGATGCCCAACATTTATTGGGGAATAGCTCTTATATGTCTAAATGGATTTCTTCCATAGCTTTGATATCAGGCCTTCCTTAGAGCCCTCGCTGTCATTTTTTCAGTGGTGTCCAACTCTCTGTGTTGCCATTTGGGGTTGTCTTGGCAGATACTTTGTCATTGTTTGTCATTTCTTTCCCCAGCTCATTTTTCAGATGAGTAAACTGAGGCAAACAGGGTGAAGTGACTTGCCCAGGGTCACACAGCTAGTGAGTATCTGAGGCTGGATTTGAACTTGGGGAGATGAATCTTCCTGACTCCAGGTCCCGCAGTGGGCTGTGCCACTCAACTTTCTTACCAGTTCTCTTAGTCATTTCCATCCTCATTTGCACTGCGTTGGTGTTATTTGTGTAAAATACATTTTATAGGATCAATTTTATAAGATGTCATCTGTGATCCTCTCCAGCCCTTTGGTCATTAACTCTTCCCCACTTCACTTTGTCTGCTGTGACCTTTTTTATCTGAACCATGTGCCCATTTGGACTTTGTCTTGGTCAACAACCATAGCGATGCCACATTTTAGTAAAGCCACTGACACTCGAGAGAACATTCGAAGAAAGTGACCAGGATCGTCATAACAACAATAGCCCTTTAAAAGGTGTGCTCAGCAGACCCTGGGGTTAGGCGCTATATCCCCAATGTACAGATGAGAAAAGTGAGGCAGACAGGTGAAGTGACTTGCCTAGGGTCGTCCAGCTAGTAAGCGTCTGAGGCTACATTGTGTCTCCCGGTCCAGCGCTCCCTGTGCTGCCCAACAGTAACTGATTTGACAGCCCGCAGCCCACCAGCTGTCCTCGGCATGCTCACAAGTGGTCCCGCCAATGCACTACACTTCCCAGAAGGCGTTGCCAGGGCAGCGCGAGGTTGCCATGGAAGCAGTGAAAAGCGGGCCCATGACGGTGCATAGAGTCTTCACCCGATTGGTCCCCCGGCGCCGAGGGGTGATGTCACATCCGCTCCCTTTCTGTTGTGGACGTAGTCGCTAAAACCTTGGCTACGCTCCGTTTCAACAGTCGCCGAGGCCGGAGCCCTGCATCCTGAGGTTGGGTGAGAAGAGGCCGTGGGCCTCGCTGGGTCGGGCCGGCGGGTGGAAGGGGCGCAGCGGAACTTCGGGCTCGGAGTCTCTGGGGAAGGGAGTAGGAAGACGGCGGTTGGGGGGGGGCCCTCTGTGCTCGCCGTAGCCACGCCTCCCCCGAGAGCTGACGTGCCCATTGGTCGGCTCTGGGCGGGCGGGTCGGTCCTGCAGGCCAATCAGTGGCGCCTCCCCTCCCCCCTCTGCCGAGCAGCCGCTCTGGCCGAGGGCTATATGGAGCGTGCGCGGCAGGCCGAGTGGGCTGAGCCTGGGAAGGAGGCGGAGCTCGGGCTGAGGGTCCCTTCCCTCGGAGAGTGGACAGTCAGAAGGGAAGATGACCTATGGAGGAAAGATACCCCCCCTTCCGCACCTGGGATGGGCGTCTGCCAGAGGCCCAGTGCACGGCGCACAGGAGGCGCACATCCAGGCCAGGGGGTCTGATTGTGGGGGCACAAAGCGCAGCGATGGCCCCATGGACCCCGGGGGTGGGGCGTGGCAGAGGAAGGGAGGGGGCAGGGAGGGAGAGCCCGAGCTGTCCAGAAGAAGGGGGCAGTGAGTGCCCAGGCCAAGGGGGTCAGGATGGCCTTCGAGAAGAGCCTCTGGGTTTAACAGTAAAGAGGGCTTGACGACCTTGGAAAGGACCTTTTCAGCGCAGTGGTGGAGATGAAAAGTCACATACAAGGGTTGCAGGAGGGCCTGTGTTCGTTCTGGGAAGCTGACTTGAAGGGGGAGCGGTGTGGTTCAGGAGGCAGCTGGGTCTGGTGATGGCTGGTTATTTTCAGTTTGGGAAAGGCTTGGCTGTGTTTGTAGGCGGCCTTGAAGGATCTCCTAGATAGGAGGGATTGGAGACTGGCGAGAAAGGGGCAAGCTCTGGGAGAAGAGGGGAGCCCAGCGGGGGCACGCGCCTAGCTGCTTTTTGCCTTTTCAGCCACGGTTTCTCGCTCTCCTGCCTCCATCTGGATTCTGTCCCTTCGTCTGCTTCTCCAGTCTCCTCTGCCCCCTCGTCTCCATCTTCCTCTCTCACCACTCTGCCCCTTCCCCCCTTTACTGCTTTCTGCGGCATCATCCCACTTCGCAGGAGAGCTTGGAAGGTCCTCTAATGATAATCCTTTAGCAGAGGAGGAGCCGGTGGCCCGAGAGGGGAGCGTCGTAGCCAGGGTCACAGCAGCCGGAAGCAGCGCAGCCTGCAGAGGCACCCAGTGCTGCTCCTGTGTGCGGAAGCCGGGCATTTTAGGGGAAATCCTTGCCCGTTGCCCCTCCTCTGCCCTGCATTCGTCCTTTTCCTCATTTAGCCATCTGAGGCTCCTTTAGAGATGTAGTCACCGCTCAACTTGGTGCTAGAAGTGATACGAGAGAGATCGCTTATCGATCGTCCCCAGACATTCACGTCACGCTTCAAGCTTTACAAAACGCTTTACAAAGCAAAAAACGTGTAGTAAAAGGAGTGAGATTGTCCCCACAGTCACACCAAGAGTAAGTAGTGGAGCCAGAATACCCTAGTAAATGAGTATGATCCCAGCGCTCTAGAGCGTTGGGCCAGATCTACTAAGGAAATTTAAAAACCTTGAAGTTGGAAGCTCAGCACCGGGCCTGGGTTGGGAGGTGTGGCTGGCCCGCCATCCACTGGAAAAAGAGCCGGAGGTATTAGAGAGGTGCAGTGTCTTACTAGTCAGGCATGTTCCTGGGATCGCAGCCTCGGGAATGAGGAGCTCCTCAGCCTTGGCCAGAGCACGTCTGAAATGGTCACTTCTGGACACCCATTCCTGGAGATGGAGAGGCCCTTGTGTGCTGAGGAGGGCAGCCAGCATAAACCCTTTAGACCAATCTGCATAAAGATCTTCACCTCTAAGGTGTTCTTTCCTGTCTTCCTCCCCCTCCCAATTACTTCTGATTCCTCACCTCACTTTTTTCTCATCTTTCCCCTCCATTCTCGAGTCCCTGGTTGTGTCCTGTTTCTGTGACAGACATGAAACACAGGTTTGTCCTGTGAGCTTCTCCCTGAATTGTGGAGTCTTAGTGGTTAGAACTGGAAGGGGTCCCAAAGAGCGTTAAAACAGGAAACCGAGGTCCTGAGGATAAGAGGGATCCAGCCCTAGTCGGCCAGCCAGTAGTAAGTCTGGGATTGGGGCCAAGGTCTTCTTTTGCCCCATGGGAAGTGCTTTCTACTTGCCACCTATCTGTTGCTTCACCTAGTGCTCATTCATTCATTGGTGAAGCCATTGGAGGTTCTTGCATGCTCATTGCGTTTCAGAAATGACTATCCCCTTCCTGGGCTTGGTCATTGGTCCTGAGGGTAGACCTCCTTCCCTCCCCTGGCTCTTTTCAGGGGAGTGCAGCCTCCCTCTGCCGCTTCCCGGTAACTGTGGCTCATCTGCCCACTGGTCATCTTGGACTATGACTGGATACAGGTACTGCTGCTCCCCCCTTCCCCTTCCTCTTCTGCTTCTGGTGTGGCCCCATTTCCTCCTCCCTTCTCACCTTCCTTCTGCCTCCAGGCTCCGCTCAGCTGCCACTCATCTTCATCCTCCACTTGCTCTATTGTGGGAGTGCCCTTCACCAACTCTCCATTCTACCCCAAAGCCCTGGTGGCACTTTCCCAGACTCCCACTGCCATAGGGCATCTCTCAAGAATCCATCTCCTCTGGGGCAGCTAGGTGGCACACTGGATAGAACACCGGCCCTGAAGTCAGAAGGACTGAGTTCAAATACGGCCTCAGACCAAACACTTGACACTTACTAGCTGGGCAAGTCACTTAACTGCCTAAAAATTAAAAAAAAAAAAAAGAATCCATCTCCTCCTTCCAGGTTCTGCTCAGGCACTTCCTCTCCCCCAACCTGTTAGTTAGTGTTTACTGGCTCTGCAAGGTAAGTGGAGTTACCCATGTGTTTTCATGTTGTGTACCCCCTGTAGAATAAAAGCTCCTGGAGGGCAGGCACGGTCTCCTCCTGGACTCTAGTCACAGCAGCGAGTCTGGTGCCTTTAATGAAATGATTGTAACTCCAGGAACAGGTTATAAGCTCTGGCTGAGGCCAGCCTCACTTAGATGTATGGGGTGTGTGGGGCTGGAGGCTGCAGGAGGGGGCCGGTATATTCCCATGGACCTTCCTTCCTTCCTAACTCTGCCTTCCTATGACTCTGTCCTTGCCCAGGACGAGGTCGAATTGGGCAGCAGAAGATGACCTCTGTGCTCCTTTACCTGGGACCCCACAGGTGAGTGAAAGCCCAGCTTAGCCCTTCCTGTGGATTCTGATTATCATTCTCTTAAGTGTAATTTTTAATTTTTGTCTTTATGCTGCATTCTTTGGCCTGTTCATTATTTCAGATGTCATTGTTTAGCATCCATTTTGGATAGCATCTTTCTTTTTTAGGAGTTTTGGTCTGTAAAAGATAATTGAATGGGATGTCCCAGTGAAGACTCCTCAGTGTAATGAAGGTTTGGGATAAGGCTGAGTGGGATGAGGGGTCCCGTGAAAACTTCTTAGAAGAATAAATGGAAATTGTATTAGACTCAAGGCAGCATAGCAGTCCGACAGGCCTAAGTTTCGGTTTACTAGAAATCACCTGATTTATGGGAATTCAACCCCAAGTACCCCCCCCACTTATGCCATTGTTCAGTAGTTAAAGTTTGCCAAGCCGGAAACTCCTGAAAAAGCCCCCCGCCCCCGTATTTCGTTGATGCACCTGTTGCTATATTTCAGTCGTGGTGACCTGGCTACACAGTACAGTGTCGAGCTTGACTGCACATCTTTAATTCCTTCTTTGGTATTACTTCAGCAAGCTAAGAAACATAGATATGTATATCGTGTTCATTGTTTTGTCTTCAGTTTCTATGGTACATTGAGACTATGAGCCAAATAGTGACCAGTTGGTGGGAGGGGGGAATTTGCCCATTAGGGTATATAATCAGGTCCTTTGCTTCTGTCTGTGTCTCCCCTCATCAGAGCATCCTGGTGGAGGGACACCCAAATCTTGAGGTTTGAAATAATAATAATAATAAATTAACTTTCTGTTTCTCCTTGGATACCTTTGTGTGTTCTTTAATTTGAGTGGCATCCCACACATAACCATGCCTTTCTGCATGGTTTATGAGGTCATTAATGTAACTTCCACGAGAATCTGGGCAACACATACACATTTGTTGAGATTCCCATTCAGAAATCATCATAGGGCCAGCAAGATCTTTGCCTTGAGCTTTTAGAACTACATCGGGAGGTGAGGCCATGCCAACTAGGTGCATGTGCCAGAGCACACATAAGGCCCAAGGCCAGGGAGATTGCTACATTCAGGCTTGAGGAGGGGACCGATGCCCACCTGAAGATTGTGCAGGAAGGAGATGGACAATATGGGGACTCCCATTGTGGGCAGAAGCCAGATCTCATTCCAGCAATGCCTTCCAGAGTCAGACGGCAGAGAGGAAAGGAACCCATCTAAGAGTGCAAGAGAGGCCAGTTTGGCCCCAACACGGGTCCCATCCAGAAACTAAGGCTGGAGATTTGAGCAAACATCAGAAAACTCTGAACACAACGAGAGGAAGGGAGGGCCCGTTAGGGACCAGACATTTTACCAAGTACCTCACAGATGTCTCGTTTGAGCCTGAGGCTGGTGCTGTTGTTATCCTCATTTTACAGGAGAAGAAACTGAGACAGACAAAGTGACTTGTATGGAGTCACACAGCTGGTGGCTGAGGCCAGATTTGAACTTGGGTCTTCCTAACTCCAAAATCAGCACTCTTCACTCTGCCACCTATGAAGACATACTATGAGGTAAGACACACCCCAGAAGTCAACTTAGAAGAAGAGAGTAGTTCTGCAAGTACAGGTAAAGCCCCAGAGAAATGATGACGACCCCAACAACCATAGGAGTGACTAAAGAAAAACATCAGGGCACACAAAGTGTGTCCCCAAAATCTTAGTGCCGTTTTGAGTCAATAGACATTAAGCCCCTACTATGTGAGATATGCTAAGCTCTGAGGATACAAAATGAGGCACAAGTCTGTCCTCAAGGTCCTTCCAGTGCAGTGGGGGAGTCTGAATGGAGGTTGAAGAATACTTTTATTACTTTCTTTTTCTTGCTTTTTTTTGTCTGTTTTCTTTTGCAGTATAGCTAATATGGAAGTGTTTTGCATAACTGTGCATATATAATCTGTGTAAAATTGTTTGCCATCTCAAGGAGGGGGCAAAGAAGGGAGGGAGGAAGAGAGAGAATACAGAACTCAAATTTTTTAAATGAATGTCAAAAATTTGTGTACATGTAATTGAGAACAATTAAAGAAAAATTAAATTTTAAAAAGTATATCTAATAGCAGGCTAAAGATTAGTGGAGATGGGACATCTGTGACTCAGTGTAATCTTACAGAAAACCTTCCAGCATTGTTCCATTAGGAATCATTCTAGCTCTTAGTTTTCTATAAAAGTATTTGGCTAAATTTAGAAAAGATCCACTTATTTCTGCGCTCTAGAGTGCTTTTAATATGATGGAGCCCTGTTTTGAGACAGGATTTTCCCGCCTATTGTCAGAATCAGCCCATTTTTCAATGATTTATGCTAATGACAGCAACACCACCATTTTATGGGACATTTGGCCATACTTTGTTGCTCCTAAGCGTTTGTAAAAAGACCCTCAGCTGGTGCGCCCACATCTGTTGCAGCGAATGAGAACTATTACAGTGAGTTTAGCGAGTCTCTGCAAAGGAAATCCATATATGCACCGACATCGAGTACTTCAGGCTTGCAGGCTGTTATCCTTGGCAAGCCTTTATACTTTGCCTTTTGGGATGGCATATCCCAAAATTTTCTTTCTTCACAGCATAGTCTTGTGTGATCCTAGCTGCAGTTCTTTGATACATTTGCTGGCTATTTGCAGCTTTTTTTTTTTTTAACTTTGAAGTTCTAAATTTTGGCTATGACATTCTAAAGTGTTTTCAAATTTAGTTTCTTTCAGGAGGTAATTACTTTCCTAGTAACTCTCCATTTTCCATCAACAGCGCTGCTTTGTTTTAAATCCATGGAATATCAGGCCCTTCCCCCTGCTTTTCAGCTTCCTTTCAGGTGTTGTCTCCTCCCATTAGATTGTAAACTCCTTGAGGGCAGGACTGTCTTTTTCTTGAGTCTCCAGTGCTAACTAAGCACACTACCTTGTACATATTAGATGCTTAATGTTTACTGAAATGAATTGATTGGTGAGTTCTTTCAGTTTTCATTTTGCCTTCTTTTTCTTATAGGTCTAGGTAGTTTTCCATAGCAGGTGCTTAACAAATATTTGTTGACTGATTAACTCATTGAAATATAGTACCCAGGTTTTCATTTGGTGACAGTTTTCTGGGAATATAGTGATTCTTAGATGACCTCTCCTTGGCCCATTTTCCAGTTGTTTTTATAATAGAAGGTGCTTCCAAAGTCTTATGTGCAACTTCTCCCCATCATGTACTCGTCTACTGAGTGGCACTGATCTCTCCTGGACTGTCTACAAACAAAACACTCTGCCTGTCAACTCTGGCTGAACTCCATGCCTGGAATGCTCTCCTTCCTCCACTTCCCTGGCTTCCTTTTAAGTCCCAACTAAAAATCCCATCCTCTACAGGGAGCCTTCTCCAACCCTCTTAATGCCAGTGCCTTCCCTCTCCTAGTTATTTTCTATTCATCCTGTATAGAGCTTGTTTGTATACATTTGTTTGCATGTTTGTGATATTTTTAGTCACCTTTCAACGTAATTCCAAATTCATTTCCATAATGGTTAGACCAATTCCCAGATTCACCAGCCAATTTGTGAGACTGCCTCCATAATGCCTGTAATATTGCATATTTCTGCATTGCCATCTTTGCCAATTTTCTTGGTGAGAGATAAAACTTCAGGGTTGTTCTAACGTATATCTTTCTTATTAGTAGTAATTTGGAGCAATTGTCTGAATATCAGTTAATTGCTTACAGTTTTATTGAGTGATTTTTGCATCTTTTGACCATGTATCTATTCAGGAATAGCCCTTGGATTTACATTTTTTACTTATTTCATATAAATCTTGAGATCATCAGAGATATGTGGCACAAAGATTTTTTTTTCCAATCAAACTATTCCTTTTTCCCTCTGCTGCATTTCCATGTAAGACTTTTTAATTTCACATAATCAAAATTACATATTTTGTCTTTTCTGACACCTTATTTGTGGTGTTTGGTTAAGAATTTCCCCCTGGTGAACTGATTTAATCACTCTGGAGAGCAATTTGGAACTAAGCCCAAAGGGCTATGAAACTTCACACCCTTTAACCCAGCAATAGCACTTCTAGGGCTGTATCCCAAAGAGATCATACAAATGGAAAAAGGACCCACATGTACAAAAATATTTATAGTAGTTCTTTTTGTGGTAGTCAAGAATTGGAAATCGAGGGGATGCCCATCAGTTGGGGAATGCTGAACAAGCTATGGTATATGAATGTAATGGAATACTGTTGTGCTATAAGAAATGATGAGTGCACAGACTTCAGAAAAACCTGGAAAGACTTATATGAACTGATGCAGAGTGAAGTGAGCAGAACCAGGAGACTATTGCATATAGTAACAGCCACATTGTGCGGTGACTGACTTTGATAGACTTAGCTCTTCTCAGCAATGCAAGGATCTAAGACATCTCCAAGACTCATGATGGAAAAAGCTATCCACATCCAGAGAAAGAACCACGGAGTCTGAATGCAGGTGGAAGCAGATTATTTGCTGTCCTTTTCTTTTGTTGTTTTGTTTCGATTCTTCTTTCTTGTGGTTCCTCCCATTGGTTCTAATTCTTCTTTACATCATGACTGATGTGAAAATATGCTTAATATGAATGTATAAGTAGAGTATCAGATTGCACACCATCTTGGGGAGGAGGGAGAAAATTTGAAACTCAAAATCTTATGGAAATGAATGTTGAAAACTAAAAATTAATAAATAAATTGTTTAATTAAAAAAAATTAATTCCCCCCCCCCCCCGAATGCTCTTTCAATTCTCATCCTCCTTGATCTCTCAGCTGCTTTTGACAACATTGACCAGCCTTTCCTTTTGGATAGTCTGTTCTCCATTGCCTTTAAGTGATACTGCTCATAATGTGACCTTCACTCTGACCAGTTATCCTTAGGCTCCCTCTAATAAGTTTCTGTATTTGAACTCAGGTCCTGCTGACTCCAGGGCCGGTTCTCTATCCACTGCACCACCTTTGTTTCCTCTTTCTGGTGGTTCCTCCTATTGGTTCTAATTCTTCCTTACAACATAATTTATGTGAAGATATGTTGGGGGCAGCTAAGTGGCACAGTGGACAGAGTACCGGCCCTGGAGTCAGGAGGTCCTGAGTTCAAATCTGGCCTCAGACACATAATACTCACTAGCTGTGTGCCTCTGGGCAAGTTACTTAACCCGATTGCCTCACACACAAAAAAAAAGAAAAGAAAAAAAGAAAATATGTTTAATAGGAATATATATGTATAGCCTATATCAGATTGTGTGCCATCTTGGGGAGGGAGGGAAAGAAAAAATTAAAACTCAAAAGCTCATGGAAGTGTTTGTTGATAAATCTAAATTAATTAATTAAATTAAAATTAATTAAAAATTTAAAATAATTAAATTAATTTTACATTTTAAATTAATTTTTAAAAAGTCAGAGTAGGCAAATGGTAGGTGTTCAATATATGTTTGATTAATTGACTTAATGAGAGTAGACTGTAACTCCAAAGAATCAGTCTCTGGTTCAGAAGAGACCCTAGAACCCCGATACAAAATGGATTTATATAAACCATCTTGACAAATTATGACCTATTAGGATTTTTATAGCCTAGACAGAGAACCTGAGCAAGGCATTAAAAGAGAGATTGAGAGCCAGCCAACCTGTGCAAACCACATGTCTACCAGTGCTAAAGGACTTGGACTGCTAGCTCAGGGTGTAGAACACCCCCTGGTGGTTCATTCAGACTTTGCAGTGTTAGAAGTTCCCATCCCTAGTGCCAAGGGAAAGCAGGTACACTGGAGAAAAGGAGGAAAAAGCCCATGTTATATTGTAAATTGAAGAGGTTGGACAACATCCATACGGAATAACTGTACTTTCCTATCACCAGCATTTTACTCCCACTATTTCCACTTCCTGGAGTACCTTTCTCTCTCCTTTTCACCCAGTTAAACTCAACCCAACCTTCCTGATCCTTGACCCTTCCTGACAATTTCCCAGACCACTCCAACCCACGGTGATATCTGTATCCTCTGCAGTTCTCTAGCACTTTCTGTCATTTAGTCAATTTAGCATTCAATCTTACAATGCTGCTATGGTCTCTTGTATTTGCTACACTAAAAAGCCAATTACTTCATATCATTATTTAGCTATTCACATATTAGTTTCTTGTTTCTGAGATGAGATTCTAAGTTCCTTGAGAAATTGATTCCTCTTTGCCCCCCCCCCACATGAACTGCTAACACCACTAGTGCCTTGGGTAAAATAGGTGTTCAGGGAACATTAGCTAATTATTTAATTGATCCTGCTTCCCTAAGGGGGAATTATGAAAAGGGCCAAAGTAAAATATATGACAGAATGTTTAAGAGAGAAATAATTGACCTAGAGTCCAGCTTAATTAAAAAAATTTCTGTATTCTATAAGTTCTTTTCTCTCTAACCTGTTGGTGGTCTCTTTAGAACCCACTGGTTAAGTCACACTCTGTCTGCAAATATTTCCTAATCTACGTAGGATCCCATATATAAAACTGAGACTTGCTAGGTCACCTACAACAAAGGTGTGAAACACCTTTTGGGCTACATGTGACCTACAACACTTGGGACCCACAACACTCCCAAGCTGGCTCAAACTAGATTAAACTATAATGGAGAATATTTAACAAAATAAATACAAATACAATAAAGCATTGATAATGTTAATATGTGGTTATCTAAGTCAATACATGGCCTGCAGAGCTCCCTCTGTACAGTTTAGTTGTGTTATTTCTATTTGAGTTTGACACCATTCATCTAGGTCAAATCCCCCCCCCCATCTCCCATCAATAGATAAAGATTGAGGTCCAGAAAGATCCACTTGCACAAAAGTCTATGGTCTATACAGCAGGACTGGGATTCAAACCTGTTTTCCAACTTCACGCCCAACATTCCTCCCACAACTTCCCTATTCTGGTTTCATTTGTGTCCATACTCAGCACTGACTCCGTGGTCTGCTTTGTTCATCATTCACTAATGGTTCAGTTGTTTCTATCACGTCCAACTCTTCATGACCCCATTTGGGGTTTTCTTGGGAAAGATACTGGAGTGGTTTGCATTTCCTGAACTGAGGCAAACAGGGTGAAGTGACTTACCCAGGGTCACACAGCTAGTAAGTGCCTGAAGCTAGATTTGAACTCAGGAAGGTGAGTCTTCCTGACTTCAGGCCCAGCACTCTATCCAGTGTGCCATCTAGCTGCCTACATTCACTAATTACTACCTTTGAATCTTGTAGGCCTCAAACAGAAAATTTTAGTATCTAGACAATTTCCACTGTCCAATTCCTTAGCTTTTTCTGGGCCTGCTGACTGTATGTTAGAAAAGTCACGAAACTGGCCTATTTCACCCCCTGTAAATTCATGGTACATAACTTCAGCTGGACACAACCAGTACAAGCTCAACTCATGGGTCACTTGCTATTGGAATCCTTTCCTAATCCTACCAGTTATTTTCCTTCCTCAGGTTATTTTCTTATGTAAACCCTAGTAAAAGGTAGGTTCCTGTAAGTTTGGGATTGGTTTTTTGGGGGGTTTGATTTTTTTTATTTTTTGTCTTTGCATTCCCTGGGCATAGTGACTTACATATAGTAGGAATTTAATAAATGTTTAGCTAACAGTATTAAACAATTTCAATAGACTGCTGAAGAACTAATTGAAAGGAACAGATCCAAGCTGAATCATTAGCAGACTAACTGTTCCAGAGTATACATGTGGGCGAGGGTCCAAGGGGATAAAAAAAAGGAATGGCTTTTCTTCAGTGACCAAGGTAAGATGATACTTGACAATTTTCAGAATTTTTAAAATAGCAGAGCTCAGGAAGTGGGCTTCCATGTGAATGCCCCCAATTTCTTCAGTAATTATGACTCTAAATTGGGTGTTGTAAGTTTGGGGGTTGTGATTGGGAAGTGTTTTGGGATTTGAGGAGGAAAATGTTTGAAATAGCCACTATAACATAATATATAAAGTACATATGCTACAATCTACAATAGAGGGGTCTGCTTCATTTATAGCAAGGGTAAACAAACTATGGCCCACCACCTATTTTTCACAGCCTGTGAGCTAAGAATGATTTTGTTGAAAGGTTTTTCTTAAAATACAGGGGGGTCTAAAACTATGTGGGCCAGATTTGACCTTTGGGATGTAGTTTGCTAACCACTGATCCATAGGGTTTCCCTTGAATTTCAATGCTCAAATTTTCAGCAAAGGCTGGTATCATTGGTCAGGTCCACCTCAGGCTGGTCCTTTCATAGCTTAAGTCTAATGCTAAAACAAAATGAGACTTGTAGTTCCCTCAGCAAGTCACAAAAGGTTTACTTAGCCACTAGCTGAGGAAGGATATTCTATAGGGTGTTCAGAACTGATTCAACTGAATTCAGCTTCCTGGTGTTGATCATGCTATTGGTTCAAAGTCAGAAACCTCTGAAAGGGAGGCGAAGCTCCTCCTGGGCTTTGTATGAGGGTGACCAGGAAGCTATGCCAATGACCTGAACCAGTATCCTTAGGCATTCCAGACTAGGGGAGTGTTTCAGTAACTCTTAAGGAAAAGAACTGATATAACATGCATGGGGTAAGGCTTTAAGAAAAGCTAGTATAGATGACATGGCAGTCCCCAGGAAATATCATCCCTACCACAGATAGTAATCTGGCTGAAATGCTTCTCACTTTTTTGAAGTTCATGAGACCTCCCCACATGAACTATTAGATGATGAATTACTTTCATGTTTTGGCTCTCCATCTTCACTATATGAATACAGTTTTTAATCCTTACTTCAAAATGGTGCTGAGTGTTTTCTCTGGAGCAAAGCCTTTCCCAGACCATTAAATCCACAAAGTTTCTTTCCAGAATGTATTCTCTAATGCTCTGGAGTCAGAAAACCTAGGTCCAAATCCTGCAGTAACGTTAGTGTGACCGCGGGCAAGTTGTTTGATTCCCTGGGCTTCCATTTCTTTATCTATGAAATGAAGGATCTGTGCTACATAGAGTACGCGCTCTTCATAGGTGAAATGCCACCACATGTCCATCATATTGTTAAGGTCTGTCCAGTATGAACTGTCTTGCTCCATAAGCCCTTCACCCCAACTGACAGCCATCCTATATTGAATACATTCCATATGAATTTTCTTTTGTAATTTAAGATCTGACCTGCCCCTGGCAGCATTCCCATAAGCAGCTTCTCACCAGAGTGAATTCTTTGAAATATAGTTAAGATGTGACCTCACAAAGTATTTTCCATGTTTATTAAATCTACAAGGTTTCTAAAAAATATGACTATAAAAATTTAGAAAGGAGTTTGATTAAGAAGCACTCCCTCCCACATTTTACTTCTTTCCAGCATGAATTCTCTTATGCTTACTGAGTTGTGTGAACAGGCATTAGACTCAGTTCCCCCACCCTCCACATTTAACAATTATAATTTTCTTTCTAGTATGAAGCCCATGATATTTTTAAAGTTCTCAACCATGACTAAAAGCCTTCCCATATTCATTATACTCAAGGCTCCTCTCCAGTATGAATTCTCTGGTGTTCCATAATAGAGGTACTCAAAGGGAAGACCTCACATTCATCATATTTATAATCTAGCCAGTATGAACCCTTTCATGTTGAATAAGTTTTATCTTCTCACTGAAGGCCTTCCCACATTCATTACATGTATAAAGTTTCTTAGAAGCATGAATTGTTTGATGTTGACTAAGTTTTCCTTTTATTCGGAAGGCCTTCCCACATTCATTACACTCATAAGGTTTCTCACCAGTATGAATTCTTTGATGTTGAATAAGTCTAACCTTTCGGGTGAATGCCTTCCCACACTCATTACATTCATAAGGTTTCTCACCAGTATGAATTATCTGATGTTGATTAAGCTGTCCTTTAAGTCGGAAAGCCTTTCCACATTCATCACATTCATATGGTTTCTCACCAGTATGAATTCTCTGATGTTGAATAAGTCTTATCTTCCGGCTGAAGGCCTTTCCACATTCACTACATTCATAAGGTTTCTCACCAGTATGAACTGTCTGATGTTGACTAAGTTGTCCTTTTAGTTGGAAAGCTTTTCCACATTCATTACATTCATAAGGTTTTTCACCAGTATGACTTCTCTGGTGTTTAGTAAGAGCTATGCTCCAGTAGAAAGCCTTCCCACATTCACTGCATTCATAAGGTTTCTCACCAGTATGAACTCTCTGGTGTTTATTAAGAGCTGCACTCCAGCGGAAGGCCTTTCCACATTCACTGCATTCATAAGGTTTCTCACCAGTGTGAATTCTCTGATGGAGAGTAAGAGCAGCACTCCAGTAAAAGGCCTTTCCACAGTCATGACATTCATAAGGCTTTTCACCTGTATGCACTCTCTGATGTTTGTTAAGAGCTGTGCTCCATCGGAAAGCCTTCCCACAGTCATGACATTCGTAAGGTTTCTCCCCAGTATGAATTCGCTGATGTTTAGTAAGAGCTGTACTCCAGTAAAAGGCCTTCCCACAGTCATGACATTCATAAGGTTTCTCCCCAGTATGAATTCTCTCATGTTCAATAAGGTTTGATCGATTGCAGAAGGCTTTCCCACACTCATTACATATATAAGGTTTCTCGCCAGTATGAATTCTCCTGTGTTTAGTGAGAGCTGTACTCCATCTGAAGGTCTTTCCACATTCATTACATGTAGAAGGTTTCTTACCAGCATGAATTCTTTGATGTTTAATAAGAGCCGTATTCCAGCAGAAGGCCTTACCACATTCATTACAGTCAAAAGGTTTCTCACTAGTATGGATTCTCTCATGTCCAGTAAGGCTTGACGGCCTGCAGGAGGATCTCCCACATTTATCACATTCATAAGGTTTCTCACAATTGGGAATTGTTTGTTGCTGGTCACTTTCATAATGTTTCTCTCCATGATGAATTCTCTGGTGTTGAGTAAGTTTTGTGTTCTGGCTACAGGTTGTCTCATCTTCATTACATTCATAAGGTTTCTTACCCATATGAATTCTCTGATGTTTGGTAAGAGCTGACCTCCTTGGGAAGGTCTGCCCACATTCATTACATTCATAAGGTTTCTCACCGGTATGAATTCTCTCATGTTCATTAAGGTTAGAACGCCTGCAGAAAGTCTTGCCACATTCATTACACTTATAGGGCTTCTCTCCAGTATGAATTCTCTGATGTTCATTAAGCTGGTCTTTCAGTCGGAAGGCCTTTCCACATTGATTGCATTCATATGGTTTCTCCCCAGAATGAACTGTGTGATGTTTAGTAAGTCCTGCCTGCTGGGAGAACTCTTTACCACATTCATTACATTCATAAGGTTTCTTTCCAGTATGACTTCTCTGCTGTTGAATAAGTCCTCTCTTCTGATGGAATACTTTCCCACATTCATTACATCCATAACATTTTTCATTAGCATGGCTTGTCTGATGGTGAGTAAGAGCTAACTTCCACTGGAAAGTTTGCCTACATTTATTAAATTCATAAAGTTTCCCTCCAGTATGAACTGACTGATGCTTAGTAAGTTCTGCCCTCTGATTGAAGCCCTCCCTACATATATTACATTCATAAGGTTTCTTTCCTAGATCAGTTCTTTGATGCTGAGTAAACCAAGTTGTCAGTCTATCAGCCCTCCCAGATATGTTATATTTATGAGGTTTTCCTCCACAGTGAATTGTTTGATGTTCAGTCAGCCCTGTGCTCTGATGGAAAGTATCCCCACATTCATTAAATTCAAAAAGCCTTTCTCCAGTATATATTTTACAATTTTCAGTAAGGCCTGAATCATACCTCGAAATTTTCTTGCTTTCATTACAGTTAGAAAAGGTTTTCTTTGAGCACATTCCGTTCCATTTTCTTATATCTGCATACTGTCTGAAGCTCGTTTTGTGTGTGTCACACATACTGAGACTCTTTCCTACTCTTGGCTGCGGGAAAAGCACTAGCCCAGGATTAAAGACTCTACCATGCCTATTACGTTCTTGGTTTCTTGATATGCCAGCAAGTTTCTTTCGCGTGGTTTTGACTGGCCAGAAATGTTTCTCCCTGGAGTCTTTTTGCCTCTCTAAGCTGGCATCCCATTCCCGGGCTTTTCTCAACTTGGAGAAAAAGGAACCATCCATTACAAGTCTTTCCAGTGATGTTTCTTCCACTGAAATGTCCAGATTTTGAGATGATTCCATTGATTCTTGCTGAGTCTTCCAATCTGAAAGAAATGAAAAATGTAAATAATTATAGTCCTGGATCAACATATTTCTGTGTATCCACTAAAAAATTTTATTTAACCAGATTTTTCAGCAAATTTTCTTCCAGCAGCTCATATCAAAGTCCCCATTAGTTTTGTTCTTGGGTTGATACAACATGAGACTACTGTATGCATATACTTTTAGGTCTTCCTTATGTGGTACATGCCATTGACCAACTTTTCTGTCTTTTAAAACTAATAGCAAGTAGTTTTCATGCCTGCTTTACAGGATAATCTTGAGTTACTGCAATGCTAGATTCTTTATCATCCCTAGCTTTACAGATGATTCCTTTTAGTGCTCTCAACCTTTCATTTCACTATATTAATTTGATATGTTTTTACCCAGCATTCCCTTTGTAATTAGATTGGCATAGCTTTAAATTCACAAATTAACTTAAGTAGTACTGTCATTTTTATCAGGTTGGCATAATCTATCCATGAACACTGAATGTCCAAATGATGTGTCTGTAATGTATGAATCTAATGAACAAGCTAGTTTTCAGAAACTAAAATCGGGAGGCCAGGGAAGAAAGTTATTAAGTGCCTCCTATGTGCCAGGCGCTGTGCCGCGCATTTTACAAACATCATCTAATCTGATCTTTGCAACAATCTGAAGAGGTGGGCATTACTATTACCTCCATTTTACAGATGAGGAAACTGAGGCAGAGAGAGGTTAAGTTACTTGTTCAGAATTAGACAGATAGTAAGAGTCTGAGCCCAGATGTGAACTCAGATCTTCCTGACTGCAGGTCCAGAGCTCTGTCCACTGCACCACCTACCTGCCTTACCCAAGTAAAAGACTTCCTGACAACTGCATTAGACTAAACAGAAATGGATGATTCTGAGAAAACAAGAAATAGTAAAACAAAACCAACAGACTGAAAAAACAGAAGAAAATATAAGGTAATTTATATTAAAAAGTGATGCAAGCATCAAAGAAGAAAAAAAAAAACTGAAGAATCATTATGCTTCCAGAAAACCATGACCAAAAAAATAGAGTCTAGATATTGTATTTCAAGAAATCATAAAACTGCCCAGAAATACTGGAACCAGAGAGCAGAATCTACCAGCCTCCTCCTAAACAAACAAAACCCCCCACCCAAATTCCCCAATAACATCACGGCCAAAAAACAGAGCATCCAGGTCAAAGAAAAAATATTGCAAGCATTCAGAAAGAAAGAAAAAATTCAAGGATGAAGAAACCACAGGAGGGATTGTATAAGATTTGGCTGATATTAAATAGGAGAATAGAGCTTGGAATATTCTAAAATGCGAAAGATTTAAGCGTACAACAACTATGAGTAACCAACCTAGCAAAACTGAATGTAACGCTACAGGGGGAACCATACCATCGATGAAATAGAAGACCTCCAAGCAATCCTAGTGTAAAAACCAGGAGTATAAACTATTTTGTCCAATTATGCACTAATAAAAATGACAAATTAAATGGATGAATATTTACAAATTAAATGCCCAGATTAAAAGATCAAAAAGTAGAGAATTTAAATAACCAAAACTTAGAAAAAGAAATTGAACAAGCCACAAAAGAACTCCTAAAACAAAAAACCTGTGAATTTTTTTTTTAGGCAGTTGGGGTTAAGTGACTTGCCCAGGGTCACACAGCTAGCTATTAAGTGTCATGTTTGGTCTGAGGCCAGATTTGAACTCAGGTCCTCCTGACTTCAGGGCTGGTGCTCTATCCACTGTGCCACCTAGCTGCCCCTAAAATCTGTGAATTTTGGCAAACATTCAAATAATAATTAACACAATATTGCAGAAAATGTTTATAAAAACAGGGAAAGATGCGATCCTACCAAATTTCTTCTTTGACACAAACATGGTCTTGATATATAAACTAGAAAAGTCAATACATAAAAAAGAAAGCTATAGGTCAATATCCCTAATCTTAGGTAAAATATCAGCAAAGACTATACAGCAACACCTAAAAAGATTATATATGATGACTAGTTTGGATTTGTAACAGAGATGTAAGGCTGATTCAGACTAGGAAAACAACAAACATCACAGACTATATTAATAACGAGAACAACCCAAAAAAGCATGATTGTGTTAACAGATGCAGAAAAAGCTTTTGATCAAATGCAACATTTCTCCTAAAATACTAAAAAAATTTGAATAAATGGACCCTTCTAATTTAATATGGCGAGCAGTATCTACTTAAAACACAAGCTAGCGTAATATGTGATGGGGATATGCTAGAGGTATTTCCAATAAGATCAGGGCAAAGCAAGGATGTCCATTATTACCACAATTATTTGATGTAATGCTAGAAATGCTAGTGATAGCAATTAGGAACAAAAGAGAAGAAAAGGAAATTGAGGAAATAAGCATAGGCAAAGAAGAAACCAAAGTATTGTATTGCTTTTGGCACACACCGCAATGATTTATTTACAAAACCCCAGAGTCAACTGAAAAATTAACTGAAATAACTTACAAATTTGAAGGCTATAACAAAAAGTTCAGATAAATAACCAGCATTCCTGCATGCTACCAATAAAGCCCAGCATATGCCTATTAAGACATACACAGGAACTATATACAAATACAAACACTAGTTAGGGTTTGTAAATAAGCATCATTTATGGAATAAAGAACTAAGTGATTGGAAAAACATTAGTTGCTCAGGTGTACAACAAACCAATATCATAAAAATGACAATATTACCAAAATTAATTTACCTATTCAGTGCTCTGCCAACAAAACCACTGACAGACTGCTTCACAGAGATGGACAGAAATTAACATAACGGTCACTTAACCCTGACTGCCTCGCCAAAAAGAACAAAAATTAACATGATTTATCTGTAGGCACAAAGGGCCAGAAAGCTACGGGGAATAATGACGAGAAAGCGGAAGGCACTGATGTAGCAATACCTGATCTCAAAGTATACTACAAATTAATGATCTTCAGAATGACTTGGTGCTAGTTAAAAAACAGACCTATCAGTGGAACAGATCAGATCCACAACATACAGAAGCAAATAAATCTTGTAGGCTCATCCAGTGTTCAGGGAACCCAAAGACACTAATTACTGGGATAAGGACTATTTGACAAAAAGTCCTGGGAAAACCAGACGGCAGTCTGGAGGGAATTAGATTTAGACAAACATTCCATACTTTATACCAAGATAAACTTGAAATGGATATATTACTTAAGTTTAAAAGACCACAGCACAGACAAACTGGAGGAGGAAAGAAGTTATCTTTCAGATCCATGGACTGGGGGAATTCTGATGAAACAAGGACAGAGGAGCATAGAAGGCAAAATGGACAATTCTGATTATATAAAATTAAAAAGGTTTTGTAACAAAACAAATGCAGTTAAAATTAGAAGGGAGACGATTCACTGGGAAATCTACGTAGCGACTCTCTCACTTTGCAGACATATAGGGAACTGATTCAGGTTTGTGAGAGTGAGAGCCATTCTCTACTTGGTAAATGGCAAAAGCCTATCAAGAGGCAATTTTCAAAGGAAGAAATCCAAACCATCAACAGCCACATGAAAATTAAAGAAATGCAAATTAAACTAATTCTCAGGATCTCTCTCATACCCATCAGATTAGCAAAAGTGACCAAAACAAGGAAACTGACAAGTGTTAGACGATCTCTACAGGAAAGAAGATGCTGTTGGTGGCACTGTGAATCAGACCAGCTCTTCTGAGAAGTGACTGGGAGCGATGCCCCAAAGTCACGAAACATGCACGTCCTTGGACAGAAGAAAAGGACCCACGTGTGTAATGATCGTAGCAATAGCAACGATGATGATTCTAAACACTTACACCATGCTTTAAGGTTTAAAAAGCACTCTGATCTCATCTGATACTCACAACAACGCTGGGAGGAAGGTGCTATTGTCTATCCTCATTTCACATTTGAGGAAGTTGAGGCCCACAGAAGTAAAATAACTTGCCCAAGATTAGAGAGACAGTAGATATCTGAGGCCAGATCTGAACTCGGTGGTTAGAATGCTGGGCTGAAGGCAGGAAGACTTGTCTTCCTGAGTTCAGATCTGGCCTTAGATACTTACTACCTGTGTGACCCTGGGCAAATCACTTCACCCTGTTTGCCTCAGTTTCCTCATCTGTAAAATGAACTGGAGAAGGCAATGGCAGACCACTCCAGTATCTCTGCCAAGAAAACCCTAAATGGGGTCCCAGTCAGACAAGACCGAAATGACTCAAGAACAACAGGTGCTTTATGGAAATGCAGAATGAAATGAGGTGGAGCAGGAAGCCGAAGACCTGGGTCTGAGACCCCTCTTTCATTCAGTAGATGATAAGACGCCTTGAAGGAGCTCCCGACAGGCAGCCTCAGCGCCTCCTGACGGCCTGGAGAGCTCCCCGCTGAACATTCCTGTGCACAATGACTCATCTGCCCAGTCCACCACTTACCTGCACACATACATCTTGGGCCTTCTCCTTCAGGAATCCAAGGTTCTCCCCCCTGCTCCAACTGGCAGATTACTTCTGGTTTTGAAACTGCAAGTCCTGCTCATTGGAAATGGGGAAGGGTGAGGACAGAGAATCAGCTGAGGATTCAGCCCTAAAGCCTGGCCCTCTGGGCAGGTCACAGGTTACCTGCAGGAAGGGCTACAGGCATCGTCTTGTATCGTGCTGCTGAGTGGGTTGGGGACAACGGGCACAAAACAGGCTCTAATGAAGGAAAAGAAGTCATTTGTCTGACCCGCTCCTTGCTAAGAGGAGAAGAATCATCCGTGTATGTCAGGCATACACGCGATTGAGGGGAGGATTACATTACGAGGAACAGGGAGTGCAGGAACTTAAACCTTATGGGCCACAGTCAAGGAACCAGTCTCCAGGTGTATAAAGCAAAATCTTTCACCTATGAGCTAACAGCACACGCATCCTATCTTTTTTTTTTTTTAGGCAATTGGGGTTAAGTGACTTGCCCAGGGTCACACAGCTAGTAAGTGTGTCAAGTATTTGGTCTGAGGCCGGATTTGAACTCAGGTCCTCCTGACTTCAGGGCCGGTGCTCTATCCACTGTGCCGCCTAGCTGCCCCCGTGTCCTGTCTCTTCGTCACGAAAGGATCAGGAACCTCTGTGCACGTCAACTAACAAGTGTTCATTCCTCTGCTACCCCCAAACAACTCCCCCCTCCAGTGGGCAGCCAGGGTCCTCACCCAAGCAGACCAAGTTCCTGTAGTTTTCCAGCATCACCTCCCTGTACAGCTCCTTCTGGGAAAGGTCCAACCGCGCCCACTCCTCGGGGGTAAAGTCCACAGCCACGTCCCCAAAGGTCACTGATGCCTAAAACAAAGAAATGTGCTTTTACCTGATACAAACCTGGAAGAGACGTGCCTTTTCACAGGAACCATACAGATTAGCTCTGACTATTCAGGCTTTCGTAAATAAAGTATTAAACAGAAGCCCTATTCCAGGCACCGTGCTAAGCACTAGGGACCCTGCCTTCAAGAAGCTTATATTCTAACAGGGGAAGACAACACAGAAAGTGGGGGTGGTCTGCAGAGACAGGAGTACCCACTTGGGGAAAAGGCAGATGTCACAGAGAAAGAGAAGGTCAGAGAGCTGTCAGGAGCAGAGCGAAGGCCCTCCTGAAATAGCGGTCCAGGGGAGGCAACGGTCAATTAGAAGAGCAAAGCCTCTGGGGGAAGATTTCTCCAGGGAGAAAAGTTGGTTGTCAAGGAGACAGAGAAGGCTGGAGAATCAAGTCTGTAATGAAGAATCTTCTAGTACCTCCTCTGTGACACAGTCAGTAAGAGACTCTGAATTATCAAACAGAAAAACAATAATAATTCATATTAATCAGAATTTGGGGCTTTCAGAGTACTCCACTCAAAGCAACCTTATGAGGCAGGTATACAACATACGTTATGCCCATTTTAGAGATTATAAAGCTAAGGAAAGGCTAAGTAGGAAGCTGATGGATCTTGTAGTTCTGACAGCCAGTTCATTCCCCTGCTCTTTCTATTATAGCCTGTTGTCTCTTGCTTCAGAGCCCAAGTTCAGACGATAGATGAGTTCTCACCAGGGGACACAATTATGTAATGCCTTTGACTTGCTACTTTTTTCCTGCTAGTTTGAGTTCTGTTTTGTTTAAATAAAAAAGCAGAAAGCCGCTCACTCTTTCTCCACTCCTCCAGAGAGCATTTGGAATGGCGAGCTCCATAATTTGGTGATTCTTACAATGAATCTCTGCACATTAGGAATGTTCTGGCTCTTCAGCAACGTGTACTCCACACTTCCTGACTCCCCTGGGCAGCGAGTGCCGCATCTTCTTGCTGGTTCCATAATCAACACTGGGCATCAGGATCCAGACCTGTCTTTGCACCCTGTTATCAGCAGCTCCTGGTTTATGCCGACTTCACTTGGGTCTTGAAGTATCATGCTGATGGGGGTGGGATGAAGTTTGAGGTTCTCTTCTTCATGCTTTTAGGCTTCATGAGGGGTCTGAGGGCAGGCATGGTGCTGGCAAAGAGATGGCAGCCCCTCGTAGACAGCATCGAAGGAGACTGCTTCTTATTATTAGATCAGTCATCTACTAGGCATTCGCCGCATACATCAAGCAATTTTGGTGTTGGCCTCATGAGGACAAACTTAGTACGGGTGAAGCAGAAAAGACAGGGGGATAGCTCGACTGAGTGCTGTGCTGGAACAATGATGACAAATCATGGTCTCCTGGCTTCTGGTGACACGCTTGTTGTCCAGTTATTTTCAGTCCTATCCGACTCCTCATGACCCATCGGCGTTTTCCTGGCAGAGATAATGGAGTGGTTTACCATGTCCTTCTCCAGCTCATTTTACAGATGAAGAACTGAGGCCAACAGGATTAAGGGACTTGGCCAGGGCCCCACAGCTGGTGAGTGTCTGGGCCCAGCCCCCTGTGCACTACAGCACCACCCAGCTTGTTTTGCTTTGAGCCTTTTGTCTAGCCATTGGACTCCAGCGACTGGAGGAGAGAGTGAGGCGGATGACTTTGGGCAGCTCTGCCTCACTTAAATCCAATTCCCATGCAAGTCAAGGTATAACCCTCGTGAAGTCACTGGTCCTCTTGGAGAACAAAGAATGATCAACTACAATCCTTTGGGGCCTACCAGCATCACTTGGCGGGAAATGACAGAAATAGGAGCACACTCAAGCTCACGCACACACCCACGGGCACTGTGCAGGGTGAAGGAGACACAAAGATTGAAGCAACACTTCTCTCTTGTTCTCTATATAGAAAAGTTTGCTTCTGCTAACGATTAAGTGTGTAACAAAAAACAGTATTAAAAAGCAGATGCAAATCTCATGGACACAGGGGCCTCCCTGAAGGGGATGGCAGCTCAGCTGACGGAGGGAGAGACAAGAAGGAGCAGGACGAATGCTGATGGTGGCCCAGCCTCTCACAGGCCTCAGAGTCAGTCAGACATCTGCGCATCGTGGGTCAATCGGCAAAGTAAGAATGAGTGGAATCTGAGCACCACATTTTAACGGCTAACTGCAAGAAAATGGCGCAGAAAACCTGAAAACAGAGGGCACCGCCAGGCTGCTGGCTGTCATTATTTCTTATGACATTTAGGCCTTTTCATTCGCCTCATTCTTCTAAGAGACTTCAAGTTCTTAAGTTGCTTCTACACGCTCGTCTTCCAGATCGCCGAGTTTTGCTTGTGGGGCTCTACTTTTCATGTTACTGGCATTCGCTTCTGAATGGTCCCATTCCCAGTCCGTTATCCTCTTTTATTTCTCACAGTAGTAATGATGATAGTTAGCATTTACATAGCGCTTACTGTGTTCCAGGAGCTTGTGCTAAGCACTTTACAAACATTACCTCGTTTGATCCTCACAGTGACCCAGGAGGGCAGGTGCTATTATGATCCCCATTTTACAGATGAGGAAGCTGAGGCAAGCAGATGAAGCAACTTCTGCGGGTCCCACAGCTAGCATATGTCTGAGGCTGGATTTTAACTTGGGTCTTGCTGACTCCAGGCCCAGAACTCTGTTCACTATGCCACCTGGCTGCCTTTCTTTTGAGAGTGGATTCAATAGTCTGACAACTATTTCTGCTGTGGAAGCCACCAATTCTGCCTTTATAATTCTTTTTTTTCCTCTTTTTTAAACCATTTAGAAACCGCAGCTTCTAACGTTCCAAGATTTCTTGGAATCCACAGGTCTTCTCTCATGAGGTGCTGATTCATTTTCTTATGTCTTGAAACACTTACTCATAGAGGTCAGGACTAGTTTACATCATCTAGAGGCCAGTCTCTCCTGTTACTACCTTCTTCTTCTTTTTTTCTTTTTTGGTGAGGCAACCGGAGTTAAGTGACTTGTCCAGAGTCACATAACTAGTTAGTATTGTGTCTGAGGCCGGATTTGAACTCAGGTCCTCCTGACTTCAGGGCCAGAGCTCTATCCACTGCACCGCCTCACTGCCCCTACCTTCTCAAAAGCATCTGCTCATGCTCAGGGTCTTTAATTGAGTTTCCTTCATCCTGAGGTCGCTGGTGATTTCAGCCTTTTTTTATACTCCCCTAATGTTCACTTTCTGATGTCCTCCCCTCTGATGGCAGATTCCCTGGGGAAGAACCCGATCAACGGAACAGACTAGAAACACAACATCAAGAACCAGCCCAGGTGCTAGAGCCAGTCTGGGTCACTGGTACGCTGGAAACCTGGTCTCCAGGTCAGCTCTTCTCCTCTGGGCTAAGCTATCTCATCAGAAGTCATAGTATAAACAATCAAAGGAGCAGGGAGAGAGATATCCATCACAATATGAACAGAAGACCTAAGACAGGACAGAAAGGATCACGGAAGATTACTGAAATGTTTGATTACAAAAAAATGGGAGGTCTGTGAAAGGAAACCTAATAATAAACTAGTGTTTTGGAGCGCTCTTTCACATGGTTGGTCACAGATTTCAAGTCTCATTTTGAGAAGTTTTTGTTCACCCGACACACGCGTCCATCATGCTTGGCTCCGAAACAGAGATGAAGAAGAAGTGTCCCCCTGGCCCCACTCCCTCCCTCCCTCCATGAGGAACGTGGAAGATGACTCGCACTGTAAGGCGTGCCAGGTTTTGCTGAACTACCTTTTTCCTCTTTAAAAAAAAAAATCTCTGTTATGAGGGGATAACTCACTGAGTATGAGATGGCAGGAGGACATGTCAAGAATAAAGATGATGTAAAAACAAAGGATCCCAATAAAAATAAGAGTTTAAAATGATGATTGACGTTGCACTTGATGGTGTGCAAAGCTTACCACATGCAGTCTTTCATTTGATCCTCACAACTCCGTAAGGTAGTTGCCATTATTATCCCCATTTTATAGATGAGAAGACTGAGGCTCAAGGAGATTAAGGTGATTTTCTGGGGTCATACTGCTAGTGTCTGAGTCAATATTAGAACTTAGGCCTTCATGAATCCAAGTCCAGAACTCTATCCAGTACCACAGCTGCCTCAATTAAAGTTATTTAGGTTTATAAAAGGTTTAGGTAGGAGAAGTGATTAAGATTAGATTAGATGGTATTAAAAGCAGGGACTTTAAGAAAAATAACATACCCAGCAAAACTGAGTATAATCCTTCAGGGGAAAAAATGGTCATTCAGTGAAACAGAGGACTTTCAAGCATTCTTGATGAAAAGACCAGAGCTGAATAGAAAATCTGACTTTCAAATACAATACTCAAGTGGAACATGAAGAGGTAAACAAGAAAGAGAAATCATAAGAGACTTATTAAGGCTGAACTGTTTACCTTCCTGCATGGAAAGATGGTATTTATAACTCATGAGACCCTTGTCAGTATTAGGGTAGTGGGAGGGAAAAAAATTATATGTATGTATAGATAGATAGATAGACAGATAGATAGAGATAGATAGATAGATAGATAGATAGATAGATAGATAGATAGATAGATAGATAGATAGATAGATAGAGGGCACAGGGTGAGTTGAAGATGAAGCGGTGATATCTGGGGAATAAAATTAAAGGGTGAGAGAGGATTATACTAGGAGAAGGAGAAAGGGAGAGGTAGAATGGGGTACATTATGTAGCACAAAACAGACAAGAAAAGGTTCTTACAATGGAGGGGAAACAGGGGAAGGTAAGAGGAAATGAGGGAATCTTGTTCTCATAGGATTTGGCTTAAGGAGGGAATAACATACACACTCAATTGGGTATGGAAATCTGTCTTACCCTGAAGGAAAATAGGGGAGGAAGGGGACAAGAGAGGAGGGGGATGACAGAGAGAAGGGCAGATTGGAAAGGGGTAATCAGAAGGAAGTACTTCTGAGGAGGGACAGGGTCAAAAGAAAGAATAGAATAAATGGGGGGGCAGGACAGGATTAAGGGAAACAGAGTTAGTTTTTCACAACATGTCTACTATGGAAGTGTTTTGCATAACTGCACATGTATGGCCTGTATTGAGTTGCTTGTCTTTTCAATGAGGGTGGGTGGGGTGGGAGGAAGGGAGAAAGTTTGGAACCCAAAGTTTTAAAAACACATGTTTAAAAAAAAATTTTCCAAATGCAACTGGGAAATAAGAAGCACAGGAAATGAGGTACAGAAATCTATCCTGCCCTACAGGAAAACAGAAGGGGAAGGGGATAAGAGAAGGAGGAGGAGAGATAGAAGGGAGGGCAGACTAGGGGAAGGGGTATTCAGAATGCACGCCATCTTGGGGTGGGGGGAGGGGCAAGATGGGATGAAAATTTGGAATTCAAAATCTTTTGGAAGTAATGTTGAAAACTAAAAATAAATAAATTTATATATAAAAAAAGAAAAAAAGAAAAAAAAAGAAAAATAACAAATAGGTTAGTAGACTAGTACCTTGCCATGATAAAAAGGAAATATTAACATACCAAGAATTAATGGATTTAAAACCTATTTTGAAAATTACAGTCTTGACTATTAATGGGCTGAATTCATCAACAAAAAGGAAATTGTTTTTACAATGCACTAAAAAACAAAAATCTAAATTTTCTTCTTACATGAAAACATCTAATGAGAAGGGATGTATGTAGGCTGAATGTAGAGGGCTGGAATAAAATAAAATTTGTGTCAGCTAAATAGAAAAAAAGAGAAAGTGCAATTATTAATTCTAGAAAACAGATATCATTAAGAGAGAAGGAGGGAAGTTACCTCATAATCATAGGCATCATATACAACAACAGATAAAAAAGAGGAATTCATCATTATAGATGAATTAAATGTATGTTAGCAAACAGGATTTGAGAGACCAATGATGACTTCTAAATGGATATCCCAACAATTCTAAGTGCCTTTTAGATTCCCAGGCAAATTATACAAATAACCTCTACATATTTGGACACAAACTTATAAACCATGTGGAAAGGCAGAAATCTTAAACATATGCTGTACAGACCATAGCTCAATAAAGGAAAAATTAAGGAAACATACTGCCCTAAATGAAGGCTAAATAATGAAAGAGTGAAAGGACTATATGATAAAGATAGATTAAAAATCATTTAAAAGAGAACAACAAGAAGAAAACATGGGAAATGCCAGGAGAATATTTGAGGAAAAAGCAAACATCTACTCACCTTTTGGGTCTCGGCTGCCAGAAGCCCGGGGGCCATTATCTCCTCTGCAAAGGAGACAAAGCTACCTCCTCCTGGTGAAGAAGGGCAGACCCTTCAGAAGGCAGAACTGGGGAAGAAAAGGGACCATGAGGGGAACAGTGACCCTGTCCTGCTGTTCCCAACCTTCCTCGCTGTGCTAATAACCAAAAAAGAAATTATGAGGCTTTCCCAGAATCCAGCTCGATTCATTACACAAGTGTTATGGACAAGGCACTGTGCCAGCTGAAGGGGAGTAAAAAATGAAGCTGCCTCTCCTCCCCCTCCCCCCTCTCCTCTTCGTCCCCTTCTCTCTCCCCCCCCTCTTTTCCTCCTTTTCCCCCTCTCTCTTTTCCTCCTTCTCCCTCTCTTTTCCCTTCTCTTCCTTTCTCTCTCTCCCCCCTCTCTTTTTTCCTCCCCCTCTCTCTCCTTCCCCTCTCTTTTCTCCTTTCCCCTCTCTCTCTTTCTCCCTCCCTCTGTCTCTCTCTTTCTCTGTAAACAGAATCTGTCTCTCTCTCTACCACTGCCAAAAGTATGGCCTTTTATAGTGTATCAAAAGTGGAGCCAACCAGAGACATTCTTTTCTGAATCTGACTGTCATTCACGAGGAGGGCCTGTTGGTTGGGGTGGCAATGATAAGGACTGGGAAGGAAGTGATCCCTCCAGCCTAGAATTTTCAATAGAAAAGAGGAGAGGAAATCTGGGCATAGTCTAACACACACCACAGATATTATGAAAGCAAATTTCAGAGAGTCCAGGGGAAGGAGAGGTAAGGTTCCCCAGGGGGCAAAATGCTTCAGAAATGTTAGTCCAGAAGGAATGGGAGGTGCTGAAGAATGAAATTCTGAAGACACAATAGGAAATTGTTCTGACAAAATGGAAAAATGGAGGAGTTCCGCTGCAGGGAGCCAAGATGGCGGAGTAAAAAGGTAATCGCTCTCACTCTCCCCTATCAACCTCTGAAAACCCAGAAAATATCACTCCAGAAAAAAAAAAAACAACCCTGGAACAGCTGAACTAGAAGAAAGACAGGGAGCAGCAGTGCAGCACCCCAGCAAAAATAAGGGAAGCAGCACTACAAAGGGCCCCAGCCAGATAAGTACCCTGCAGCATTCATCTGAAAGGAGCTGAAGAAAGCAACCTAGAGACTTCCTAAAGTCCCAGCCTTGCTGACTCCAATCCAATACCAGGTAAGCTGTCAGAAACTCCAACTGTCAACCAGGAAGAGATCCTGAAGCCCAGGTGGTAGAACAGGCAAACACCAACACGTGGACCTATGGGTGCTTCAATGAGGGTGGGGGAACCAGTGGAGGCTAGCTTAGAAAACCACCAGATGCCTCTGTACTCTATCACAAAGGAATCTCCCAATGCATTAGCAGAAAGGAGGGAGGCAGCATCATAAGGGGCCCCAGGCAGATAAACACCCTGCAACACCCATCTAAAAGGAGCTGAAGAAAGCTAAAGGGAAGGAAAAGCAGGCAACCTAGAATTGCCTGAAAGTTCCAGCCTTGCTGACTCCAGCCCAACACTAGGTAGGCCGCCAGAGCCCTACAGCCTCCAATTGCCAACATAAGAGGCCCCAGCACACAAAGCCAGTGACCAAAACCTAGGCTCCCAACACAGGAAGCTTGGGTCACTGCCCTCTGTTCCCCAGCAGGAGAGCTCAATCTCTTTAAAGGCCAGGGAATAAAGAAATACCATGAGTAAAAAGAAATGTACCATAGCTTCATATTATGAGAAGAGTGAAGATCAAGACAAATTCTGAAGAGGACAACATTGTCAACAAACCCACATCTGCAATATCAAAAGGAAATATGAACCGATCTGAAGCCCAAAAAGCCTTCTTAGAAGAGCTCAAGAAGGATTTTAAAACTCTAATGAGAGAGGTAGAAGAGTCCTTAAAAAAACACAATTGGCAAACTGGAAAAAAAGTACACTGAAGAAAACAAATCCCTTAAAAATACAACTGGCCAATTGGAGAAGGAAGTACAAAAACTAATAGAAGAAAACAATCTGTTAAAAACTAGAATTGGATAAATGGAAACTAATGACTCTATGAGAGAGCAAGAATCAGTCAAACAGAAACAAAACAATGAAAAAATAGATGAAAATGTAAAATGCCTCATCAGTAAAACAACCAAACTGGAAAATGGATTGAGGAGAGACAATTTAAAAATTATTGGACTACCTGAAAATCATGATGAAAAAAAGAGCCTGGACAGTATCTTTCAGGAAATCATAAAGGAAAACTGCCCTGAAGTCCTAGAACCAGAAGGTAAAATAACCATAGAAAGAATACACTGCTCACCACCTAAAAGAAATTCCAAATTGAAAATGCCAAGGAATCTAATAGCAAAATTCCAAAATTGCCACATCAAAGAGAAGGTGCTGCAAGCAGCCAGAAAGAAACAATTTAAATATCATGGAACCACAGTCAGGATTACACAGGACCTTGCAGCTTCTACATTAAAAGACTGCAGAGCGTGGAACATGATATTCCATAAGGCAAAGGAGCTTGGACTGCAGCCAAGGATCGACTACCCAGCAAAAATGAGCATGATTTTTCAAGGGAGGAGATGGATATTCAACGAAATAGGGGACTTCCTGATAAAAAGACCAGAGCTCAACAAAAAATCTGATCATCAGGTACAAGACTCAAGAAAGACATAAAAAGGTAAATGGGACAGAAAGATACAAAATGTTGTTAATAAGGGCAAACTTTTACATCCCTACAAGGGAAGATGACACTTGCAACTCTTGAGAACTGTATTGTTATTATACCATGTTAAACGGTATACATAAGGAAGGTGGGTATTAGTTGACTTTGATGTAATGATAAAAAAAAATCTAATCAAGTGGGTTAACTGGATCCAAATAAGTGGATTAATCTGATCTTAGAAAATGTACTGAGAAAGAGGAGGCAGACAAGGGTAAATTACATTACAGGAAAGACACAAAAATCTATTACAGCAGAGGAAAGAAGGGAGGGGGTGAGCATTGTTTGAACCTTATTCTCATCAGATTTGGCTCAAGAAGGGAAAAACATAAACAGGTATAGAAATCTAACTTGCCCTATAGGCAGTAGGAGGGAAAAGGGGAAAGAAAAGGGAGGGGGGATAGAAGGGAGGGAAGAAGCAGTAAGGGTAAAGGGGAAGAAGAGGGAAAGGGCTAATAGAAGGGATGAGGGACTGAAGGAGGTGGTGGTCAAAAGCAAAATACTAGTGGGGGGGGAAGGAGAAAGGAGAAAAAGCATAAACGGGAAAAAAGGATGGAGAAAAAGACACAGATAGTAATTGTAACTGTGAATGTGAATGGGATGAACCCTCCCATAAAACGGAAGCAGATAGCAGAATGGAATAAAAACCATAATCCTACAATATGTTATTTACAGGAAACACATTTGAAAAAGAGTGCCACATAGAGGGTAAAGGTCAAAGGCTGGAGCAGAATATATTATGCTTCAGCTGAAGTAAAAAAAGCAGAGGTAGCAATCCTGATCTCAGACAAAGCAAAAGCAAAAATAGATCAAATCAAAAGAGATAAGGAAGGAAACTACATCCTGCTAAAAGGCACCATAAACAATGAAGTAATATCATTACTAAACATATATGCACCAAATGGTATAGCATCCAGATTCTTAGAGGAGAAGTTCAGGGAGTTGCAGGAAGAAATAGACAGCAAAACTATACTAGTGGGGGGACCTCAACCTCCTCTTCCCTGAACTAGATAAATCTAACCACATAAACAAGAAAGAAGTTAAGGAGGTGAATAGAATATTAGAAAAGTTAGGTATGATAGACCTCTGGAGAAAACTGAATGGGGATAGAAAGGAATATACTTTTTTCTCGGTGGTACATGGCACATACACAAAAATTGCCCATGTACTGGGGCATAAAAACCTCAGAATCCAATGCAGAAAGGCAGAAATATTAAATGCATCCTTTTCAGATCATGATGCAATAAAAATTATATGTAATAAAGGGCCATGGAAAGATGGACTAAAAAATAATTGGAAACTACATAATCTAATCCTAAAAAATGATTGGGTCAAACAACAAATCATAGAAACAATAATTTCATTTAAGAGAAAGACAATAATGAAACAACATACCAAAACTTATAGAATGCAGCAAAAGCAGTTCTTAAGGGAAGTTTTACATCTCTAAATGCTCAAAGAGTCAGTGTGAGCGCGGTGCCCCAGGAATCTGGGTGGGGCTTATGCAGTTGAATGAAAAAAGCCTATCTATGCAGTTGGATCCAGAAGGATCTTAACAGGCAAATCCACTCCCCCCCTTTTTGTGTACCCTACATGCTAAGAATAGCTTTACATGTTTAAATAGAGATTTATGACATCTTAAAACGTATAAACCATTTTTAGCTCACATCCCACAGGAACATTCAGCAGCCTGGCTTTGGCTGTCAGGCCACGCTTTGCTGAACTCTGGGCTACCTCACCGCAGTGACTTTAACAAGATGAAATTCAACAGGGATCCAGGTAAAGTCTTGCACTTGGGAACAAGCACAAGATGGGGGGGGGCACGTATAGGCATCTGCTATTCTGAAAAAGATCTGAAGGTTCCAGTAGCCTGCAAGCTCCAGGTTATCTGGGTCCCTAGCCTGTGGCCCCTTCTCTCTGAGGACTTCCTGAAGAACCCTGGCTCAGCCACGGATCCAGGCCCCTTCTTCAGAGCAATCCCCAGACATCCACCGACTGACTGACCAGCTCCTGCCTCAAAGAATCTCTCTTCAGCCACGAAGGAGACTGAGGAGGAGCGGTCAGGGAGGTAAAAGGGAAACCAGGAGACAGGGGCGTCCCCCAAACCCTAGAGGTTGGAACTGAGGAGGATGCAGGCGGAGGGAGCAGGCACAATGTCCCGGCTGCGGCGGGGTCAGGGAGCAGAGGCCACGGGTCACTCTGCGGAGGGAAGAAGGGGGGTCACCGCGGCAGACGCCTTTTGGAGGAGCTCAGCCACAGACAGTAGAAAGAGGACAACAGTCGGGGGGCAGAGGGTGGGGGTGGGGAGACGGGGGCATGTCTGTAAGCAATGGGGAAGGAGCCAGCACGGGGTGGAGGGGGAGAGAGACCGTCAATAAGCGAGACTGGGGGATGACAGGGGGCAAGAGGAGGGGATGGGATGGTGTCAGCTGAGCGGGGGAGGGCCCCCTCATGATGGGACATGGGGGAGGAGGAGGAGGAGAGAGGGTCGGAAGCGGGGGATGGAAGCAGAGGAGGACCAGGGCGGGAGGGCCAGCTTTGCTGAACCAGCCTTATTCCTGTATGGTGACATACCTTCCCGTTTCCCCCCTCGGAGCCTTTGCCCAGGCCGTCCCCCAGGCCAGGCATCCTGGCCCAGCTCACCTACTCTGGTTCGCCTCCTACAGAAAGGCTTCCAGACCTCCAGGTCCGGAACTCGGCGCCTTACATTCCCCCGGAGCCCAAGTACCGATGCGTTTGTGTTTATAGCCCTTGGAGGGCTGATGCCAGGCCACCGCACGCATGCCCAGTGCCACCCTCAGGCCGGACAGCTGATTGGCTGTCACACCCCGCCCCTCTCGAGCCGACAAATGGGCGTGCCCGCACGGGGTGGGGGCGGGACTTCAAGGGGACAGGGAAGACCGGCTGGCGCTCCGCCTACTCCCTCCACTGGGCCACTCCGACAGCAGCTCTGCCGGCCGGTTCCCTAGCTCCTGCTCACCACGGATCCGGGACGCGCAGCCCAGGCAGGTGGCGACGAGAAGGAGAGGAGCCCAGGGAAGGCACTCGGAGCTGCCGCGGCAGCTTCAGCAAAGGAAGTGACGTCACGAGATCCACCCACTCCGAGGCTTTCCTTTGGCCGTGTTTCCATGGCAACTTCTGACTGTCCACGCGAAACCTGCTGGGAAATGTAGTGTACTGGGCCAGCTAGGTGGCGCCGCAGTGGACAGAGCCTCAGGCCTGGAGGCATGAAGCTATCTTCCAGAGTTCAAATCCGGCCTCTGTCACTTATTAGCTGTGTGACCCTGGGCAACTCACTTAACCCTGTTTGCTTCCGTTCCTTATTTGTAAAATGACTTGGAGAAGGAAATGATAAACCACTTCAGTATCTTTGCCGAGGAAGCCCCAAATGGAGTCAGGAAGAGTAGAGCACGAGTGAAATGACTGAAGGCTACATGTGTGCATTCCCAGAACAGAAGGCGGTTCCAAGCCGGGCTTTTCAGTTCTCCCACACGTTCCCTCCAACCCCAAGTCCCGCTCCACTCACAGCCGGAGTGACTGTCAATCGCTGGTTTGGTCTATCTACGTTATGTGTGCAGCACATGCTCTGTAGCATCCCTCCCAGCCTTCCCAGAGGGTTACTGGATCATGGAAGGGTGGTGGGGCGGGGAGGTGAGGAGAGAGGTTTGTGTTTTTCTTTTTCTTTTTCCCTAATCAGAAACTTCTTTTTAATAAATAATCCCCAATAAAATGAAGTTTCACAAAATCTCTTCTTTAACAAACAGTATATTATGCTACACATGTCAAAACACAAATTCTACCATTTCTTCCTTTCAGGCATTAGGCTGCCAAAGCTTCACACAATGCACATTTTATTTCTCCATGGTATCCAGGTCTAACAGCGGTTAGTTGGAAGTCAGAAGTGAGTGAGATAGATGAAGTTTCCTCAGTATTAAAACTCATAAATTCCCTTTGTGCCCCCAAAGCAGTAAAACTTGATGAATCTGCAAACATTTGGTGTGCATTAAGCAAGAGCTAACCTGTGCTCCAACTCCTCTAGCAAGGTAAAAATTGCGAAAGACTGCTAGCTTAACCCTCAGGGGCTTCCTGCTTATCTGTCTCTAGGCGGAACTTCGAAACCTTTAGCTTAAGTCTTCCCGATCCTTTGTCTCTAGGCAAATATTTCCAAATAAGGATATTATTGTACTAAGGGTCTTAGAAAGCCGCGTTTAGATTGTGCACCCTGAAAACCAGCCAATGGGAAGAAGGGTTCAGGAATGGGGAGGGGGTATCACATTAGGACTATAAACTTTTGTTCCCCACTTTGCACTCCGTTGCTGTCGCGTTTGAGCGACGAGGGCTGTGCCCTTTCTCATGAGAAAGAATGAAACATTTTCCGATCTCTGACTCAGCCTCCCCAACGCTTAATTCTAGTGTGGCCGTTGTCCCACACAGAAGTATTACAGAGAATCCTTAGCCACTAGAATTGTTATACCGAGAAATGAGCGAGTTGACCACCCAAGTTAATTTTAAATTGTGGACTTTATTAGCGCGCGGCTGCCAGGGATATTCACATCCAAATCAAGCAGCCCCCATCAGGGGTTGAGCTAGGGTTTATATAGGGAGTATACAGGACAGGGAGGGGGATGGATCTTTGAAGTCTGGCAAGAGGAAGAGGTTTTTTGGGGGCTGGTCAAGGACACCCTTCTCCCTCTGTGTAGATATGATAATGCTGTGCAAACTTTCTCACAATGGAGGCTTCCAGAGATATGATCTGAGGGCTGTGGCTGAGCAGCCAGATAAGGGTCTTGCTAAGGAATTTGGAGGTTTCCAGAGATATGAATCTGAGGGCTGGAGCCTGAGCAGCCAGATAAGGGTCTTGCTAAAGAATTTGGAGTTTTCCATGGCCTAAAGGGTTCTACTACCTAAATGGTAAAATAATGTTCTGCATTACAGAATGACCTCTGGTCTTACCTGCAGCAGATGACTTAGAGCTAAGCCAGTCAGTTTTTACTTATAAACATATATTTCCATCATAAAAAAACTTAAGATCCTGTTACGCTCTCTGCTTTTACTATAGTGTTTCATGAAGCTTTTGTATAGCTCAACATGAAAAAAAAATCTTGATTTTTAAAAGAACCTTTTTCATACTGCTGCATGATGGGTTTAATAACATTAAGCATAAAATGGCAACTACACTATATTGTATAAACCAATTCACACCTATCGGAAAAATTCTTAATCTAAGCAAATACAAGGTGGCAGCAATGATAAAGAGTAGTGGAATACAAGAGAAAAAATAAACAAGTAAATAAAATGACTTTCGATCAGTGGTCATTCATTATTTTGCTTTCTGGCATACGGAAGACATCTTCTTTGAGTTTCAAATGTTCTGGTAAGTCTAGCTGTCGCTTAGCTTCTTCAATATCCTGAATTGCTGAAATAAGGGCATCAATTGAACTAAAGTTTTTCTCTGATCTGATGTAGCCAGTGATGAATGACTATGCTAAGGATTTCCCCATAGAAGTCCTCTTTGAAGGTATGTATAATGTGAGTTTCCACAGATTTTTTAGCATTCTTGTAGTATGGGTTCCATCCTATGCTTAAAACCATCTCATGGACATCTCCATTTCCAAAAGAGGCCCAACCATAGTAAATTCCAATAGATAAATCACATGGAAGATTATCTGCTACTTGCTCAGGAAGTTAGCTGTGGGGATGCCAAGCTACTTGGAGCCCCGTCGGAAGCCCCTCACCACTTTACCCCAGCAGAAATAAGGCAGGTGCTTCATTCCACCGGCTCCGGGGAGACAGCACAGGGAAAGAGTCTGGAGGAGCCGCAGTGGAACTGAGGGCAACGGTCCCCCGGGGCCAGCCGGGAGTTGGGGGAGGGGAGAATGAGGAGGAGAAGGGCAAGAGAACCCTACCGGCAAAAGGCGGGCCGGTGAGCCGGTGGAAGCCTCGCGGCCAGCGGCCCCCACCGGAATGCCGCAGGCGAAGGGCGTGCCACGGAACCTCGGCATGCCGTAGACCCAACAGATGCCACAATGGTTTGTGTTTGTGTGCTCCTGTTGATTATCAGTGGATAGCAATGAATCAGCAGCCATTTATAGAGCACTTTAAGATTCGCAAGGCAGTTTAGTCAGGGATATGTGGTACAAAACATTGTTAGAGTTAGAAGGGCTTAAGTTTCCACAGGTAGAATAATGCAGAGATTTAAAGAACAACAGCTCCAGGAAGTAGTACACTGTAGGTGGGCTGGGCTTGACCAAAAGGAAGTAAGTGGATTGTTCCAAGAAGACCCCAAAATCAAGACAGGGGTCTAGCCAGCTCAGACAAGTTAGGGTCAACCTGAGGACACCTGTAAAATGCTAGTGCGCCTGCTTAATGAACTTCATTACTATTATCTGACACACCCCGCATAAAATTAGAGCCTCATTAACGAGTCATGGGACCTATGAGCAAGGGAGGGGGAACATACTTGAGCATATCAAGGGGAAACATGTAAGGAAAGGTGTAACCTGGGAAGGGTTGGACCAAACCCGGCCTGGGAGGTTTCCCCCCAATTCAACTGCATAAAAGCACACTTTCCCTTGCACTCAGGGCCCACCCCTGAGGGGTGGAGCCCACTTCTGGCCAGAAACGTCTAGATCCTCTAGACTTTCTTTATAATAAATTTTCTTGATACTAAATGTTTGGCGTCAAGCCTATTTCTAACAACGTCCACTAAAAGTCTAGTACAAGCTCTTCCACCGGAGGTAGTTCACACCTCTCTAACATCCTTTTGCTGCTTAAGTATGGGGTCTGCTTTCTCCTGGGCTCCTTGAAGAGTCCTGAAACTGCCAATCATCATTGTGTTTAGCTTGGCATCTGCTCCTAATACAGATACTGGTACCAATCATTTTGGTTCCTGGGATGTTGATAGGATATGAAGAGAGATTCTCCGAAATTAACAAGGTCATCTTCTAGTAAATGAGAGGGGTTCTTCACCTCCTCCACTAAACGATTCCCTCTCAGAAGCAGCTAGAACTTCTCTTTCCTCCAAGCTGCCATACACTAGAATACCCTGGGTTCTAAACTTGACTGCTATTTTATGCAAACCCAACAAAACCTAACTTACTTTTTTAGACAATACAAATATGCTTCCAGTGACAGCTGTTCGTGTCTCTCAATTTTATCCAATAGCTTGGTAGGATTTCTCACATTTAATCCACTTCCTGTGATTGATTGAATGATTGTATCTCTTTTACCAGGCTGTTGATTCATATTTCATGATTTTCTTGCATCACTCATTTCTCTTCCCAACTTTTCATTTACCTCTCTTATTTGATTTTCAAAATCCCTTTTGAGCTTTTTCATGGCTTGAGACCAATTCATATTTTTCTTGGAGGCTTTGGATGTAGAAGCTTTGACTTTGTTGTCTTCTTGTGAATGTGTGTTTTGATCTTCCTTGTCACCATAGTAACTTTCAATAGAGTTTTTTTTCCTATTATTTGCTCATTTTCCCAGCTTATTAGTGGACTTTTAAGTCTTTGTTAAAGTAGGGCTCACTTCTACGGTGGAGGGCACACTATCCCAAGCTTCAGGGGTTTTGTGCAGCTGTTTTCAGAGATATTTCTAGGGACCTGTAAGTTTTCAGTTCTTCCAAGGTAGCATGATCTAAGGAGAGATGTTTACTACTCTCCTGGCCTGTGCTCTGGTCCATGAGAGACCATAAGCACTTTTTTCTGCCCTGGAACTGTGAGGAGGGTCCACCCTCCACTGTGGCTGCAAGTTATGCCATGCTAGTGCTACTCCTCACCTTTGGACCGCCACCTAGGACCTGGATCTGAGTATGGACAAAGCAACAGTCCAGCCTCAGTGCTAGCAAAAAAGACCCCTGTGATCTCCTTCTAACCAGTTGTTTGACCTCCTTACCATCTGTGAGCTGAGAGCTCTGGAGGCAGCCACTGCCACTGCTGATTCAGTAGGTCCTAAGGCTCTGATCTGCTG